TGGTAAGGGAGGACTTTTCTCAACGCCTTGTCGTCAACACTTAGGTAACTTCATGTAAGTGTGGTGTTGTACTTCCAGCAGAACGTTAAAGTTCTCAGACTTCAGCACCGCTTTAATTTGAGCTGGGAAAGAAGTTTCAAGCAGCCATTAGAAGGGCTTGATCATTTTTCAGACATCATCAATAATGTAGCTCCATTTACACTGTGGCTTTGTCTACAAAGGGCTCCTACTGAGAGGGGATTGCCTAGTCCTGTCAGTGATTGAGCCTTTAAAATAAAACACAAGAAGAAGAGTCTAACAAGCATGGAAGAGTGTGCATCAACATGCCTTTGTGTGCTTTGGAATAAAAGGATGAGGCGAGATCTTGTTACCCCGGACTCGGAGGTCAAGCGCGACTCACAGCGTAAGTCCCGCTGAGCCCTCGATCTGCAAGTGAGAGGCGGTGAGCGCCAGCGATGGATGCCAACGAGAGAACAGGAGGAAGTGTGCTGATTCTGTGCTAAAGACTTGTGAGTCAGAGGGAAAAAAGCCATTAAAACTATCAAAACAAATTTATCTCTGACTGAAGCTCAGTCAAATGGTAAACCTATTAGCCTTTCATCAGTGGCACTTCTTCCTTTTAGCACAGCCCTGGGTTTGAACAAACAAAAGCAAGGTGCCGGGGCAATGACTATTCCGAGAGGTTAGCGGAGTTTCACGCGATTCCTTATTCCTCCTGACTTTCATTACCCAGCCAATCATCTTTGCCATGGTTGCCTGATTTTATCATTATCAAGCAACAGTTCCCATCTAGGAACTCATCAAAGAGGTTAAAAAACAAATCTACTTTTTTTCATAGCCTGAAAACAGAGCTGGAGTGAAGCAGCAGGTATGACTGTGGAGAAGCGATTTCAGAGGGGAAAGCTCCTCCTACTGGCCACATAGCGGAACAGCAACGTGGTGACTGAACAAGAGGATAGACAGATAGATAGATAGATAGATAGATAGATAGATAGATAGATAGATAGATAGATAGATAGATAGATAGATAGATAGATAGATAGATAGATAGATATAGATAGATAGATAGATAGATAGATAGATATAGATAGATAGATAGATAGATAGATAGATAGATAGATAGATAGATAGATAGATAGATAGATAGATAGATAGAGATAGATAGATGATAGATAGATAGATAGATAGATAGATAGATAGATAGATAGATAGATAGAGTAGATAGATAGATAGAAGATAGATAGATAGATAGATAGATAGATAGATAGATAGATGATAGATAGATAGAGATAGATGATAGATAGATAGATAGATAGATAGATAGATAGAATAGATAGATAGATAGATAGATAGATAGATAGATAGATAGATAGATAGATAGATAGATAGATAGATAGATAGATAGATAGATAGATAGATAGATAGATAGATAGATAGATAGATAGATAGATAGATAATTGTAATGCTGTCTGTTAATTTGCATGTAGAAATACAAGAGTATGCTACTCAAACTTAGGTATAATGTATAATTAGGTCAACACATTTTATCAAATAGAAATAGAAACTTTATGAAATAAAGAAGGTGTCACTTATCACAAAAATGAACAAAGACTTTCTAATATGCATTTGTTTGTTTTATTACCTTAAAACTGTGTGACCCACTTTAACCAGGTTTTGTTTACATAGGTCAACCAATGTGCTGATTCTCCGTCCTCACAAGAAATCACAACAGCAGACAGCTGACAATCTGATAGAGTCACTCTAGTGGGAGCTCTGAATAGTTTCAATTCTCTCCAGCTGACCTTAACAGTTTGAATAACCCCCTGCGCTTTGGAGGGTCACCGGCTCCACTCCAGTCCGAGGCAACCATGTATCTTCCTCTGGCAGAGCGGCTAACGCAGCGTGATTCGATCAGGATGGCTGACTCTGTGCATGTGTGTGTCTGCGTGTGTGTGTGTGTGTGGGTGTGTGTGTGTGCTGGATCTCTGTGGAGCGTCTGCGGATGATAGAGGTCAGTAACACTGCTTGTTTCCTGCCGGGAAAAAGCTCATGGAGCGAACAAACAGGTTTAACAGCAGTCTATGGACGCCACCAAGACCCTCCATCTGCCTGTCTGTCATTTCCACAGCCAAGCATTAAGACCTCACACCAGGAGACAAAAACAGGTTTACACAAGTATGTGTTTGCTTGAACTTAATAGTGTATTATGATGTTAGCAGGTCAGCTTAAATGCAACCCAAAGCATGGAAATTTCAGTAAAATAACCTAAGTTCAATAGAAAAGCCAGGTAAATACAAACACAGTGACTTTCTTTCTTGCAGACTGAATGTGTTAGTTACATTTAAACTTTCATGATTTATGCAGCTTTTTTCTCATCTGTTCACAATAGTTCTCTGAATGCATTAGCGGTCTTTCTGATCGCGCTGCAGACGGATATTGGCGCTCTTATCCAATACCATGCACAATATTCAGAAATAATAATAATAATAATAAAAAAGCCTCAAAAGATCATAAATGGAATAAAGAAGCAGAGATGAGAAGCAAATCATAAATCGTAATCCGCAAAGACGCGCGCTGCCAGTCAGCCATCTATATAATTCAGTGTGTCACAGACATCAGCGTTTGGTCGGGATATGAAGTCACATCTGAGCGGAGCGTGTTGCAGAAACATCCTCGCTAATTGTTCCGATCAGGAGTCATTCAACGCTAAGGAGGTCGCTGGTGCCTAGTTGTGGTGACCGATGAGGAAAAGGCAGGAAGTGTCCTAGAGAGGTCACCAGTCCATCACAGAAAAACAGAACCATTCACGCAGCCGAGGTTGATGTTGCTTCTCAACCTTTATGTTTCTTAGACTGTAACAGGAAGTCGGCAACTTTAGTGTCAAAATCCAATCAGACAGGAATTTGATTGTGTTATATTGCCTCATTTAGGATAAAACTGTTCTCTTATATCATAAAAAATGTTGTAAAAATAAAGGTGAAATGTATCTGTTCTATACTCTGATATCCTGGGTAATATAACTTATTTTAACTTCGGCTTAAACATCCGACATCTGTTTCATCAAAAGGTAGAAAACTTGAATGACGACACTTCTATTACCTGCCTTATAATTACTTTTTATTTTATGTTGGTCCCCCATCAAAAATTTCCCAGGGGCTCAATTAATCTGTACCGCATGCTAAAAAACAACATTTTTAATACTGATAAATAAAACCTCAAACAAAACCCCTTTGAAGGAATCCTGGAGTTAGTCAAAGCTGTCTTCAATCAGCTTCCAATGTTCTTAAGCTGGATTAAAAGGTGAGTCTTGATTATTTTTGACTTGCTTCAAGCAGAACTTGTTTGTTGTCATTATAATTGATAAATATTGTTTTCATCAGCAGATTTACTGTTCAGGTGTCAGGCCAGTGGTCCCGGAGGACAGCAGTCGTGCATAAATGCAAACAAAGCAAAATAGCAAATTAAAAATGAAACCTAAACACATCCTTAGCTTCAACCCAAAACGTGAGAAAGAACAAAAAAGTGAAAGATGCAACTTTAACTGAAGCAACAGCAAGTGTGTGACTGAATCACTGTGTGGTGATTACAAACTAGACCCTGGAGTACAGGAAGATTAAAAAACAAACCTTCATAACTTGTTAAAAAAAAACAACGTACGTTTCTAAGGCAAAAATACTGAAGCAAACAACAGAACGTGAAACCCAAACATCATTACACTGATCGCAACTTGAGTCAAGCTGGTTGATTAGACACATTTAGGACCTCTGTGAGATTAATCAGTGCCTCAATTATTGCAAAAACAAGAGTTCGACAAACAAAAAAAATACAATTTGGAATTCAGGCAAAGTTTTTAAAGCTCACAAAGCGACATAAAGCAACGGTTAAGGGTAAATAAAACATGATGATGGGGACAAGTTGCATGCACATGGTAGATTCAAGTATGATTCCCTCCATCCTGGATTGTATTCACACGTCTCCATTAACACATATAAACTTGAGTGGCATCCCAACCTTAACCTGTGTCAGCCAAATGTTTGCATCTGCAGTAGCCTCAACTCTTTGGGGAAAGCTCCTTACAACAGGGGAAATGTAAGAATTTTCCCTTACAACATTTTGCGATGTAAGGGAAAATGTTTCACCATCTCTGTTAACTCATGTTGTGTTGGATTGAGGTGCAGGGCAGTGAAGTTCCTCCACACCAAACTCATTCAGCCCTTTATGGACCTTAAGTTTGTGTTCTGGCGCAGAGTAATGTTGGAACAGGGTCCCAAAGGAAATGATCTAATATATCTCAATGTGCTGTAGAGTAAAAAGTCCTTCAGCTGGAACTAAACGGGGCTCCTGAGAGATGGCTCCACGCCATGATCCCCCAAACTTTACCAGACTCGATGCAGTCAGGCAGGATCTGCCAATCCCAGATTAGCCCAGTGGATTACCAGGCATGGTTTTACAATTTGGAGAACAAGTGTGTATTGATCTGCAGTCCAGTTGGACGGTGCTTTACACCACTGTGTCTTAAGCATAGCATTGTACTTGGTGACATAACGTCTAGATGCAACCGTTCCTTTAAGGTCTCTAGACTCTACATGAAAAAATACGAAACCCATGTAAAGTTTTGCAGCTCTGGAGTTATTACTTAGTCTTATTAGTCTGTCACGTACCTCAAAAAACATCATGACAGGAAATTGTACCGTCAAGTACGTAATTAACTGGTCGATGAATGAAGGATATTTAGAAATATTCCAGATTTCCAGACAAACAAACGTTTAACACCAAACTTGTTGTTGACTCCCAACTAACAGATGACGGCAACGTTTCTCCTATGACTCAATCCCCTTTGACCAAACATGCAAGTAAGCAACAGAAAAGCCATGGAGAACGTTGCCTTTGGTTTCAATTACAGCAAACGGTTGAGTGGGTAAGAGTTGAAGGCCTTTGAGAATTTAAAGAAGATAAAACCAGTGACTGTCATGAGCTGTCGTTTGGACACTTTTTTTTACCTTCCACGCAGGACGGTCTGGCTCTGGTCGTCCCAGCAACCTGCCCGGGGAAGCAGGAGCACTTGACGGTTTGAGATCGCTCCTCAATCTTGTTCTTGTTGCAGCAGCGATGGATGGCCACCACCTCACAGGTGCCCTGCTTCACTTGATACGACACTGCGAACGAAGGAGGAGACACAAATAAATCACCTTTCAGAGGCACGTTGGTGGACTGATTGCTGCAGCAAATTGCCAGGTTCAAATTCGAACCCGTGAGATGCAGAGCAGTTGCTCTGAGGATAAAATAAATCTGCTGAAGGTTTTACGGGTGTTTAAACTCCTTGGTTTATTACAGGCTAAGTCTTTGATTCATAAATAAACACTCTTTAGCAACGCTCTTAGCCGCAGCAGCGTGGCCTCATTAACTTTGCCACAAAGGCACTTCTGGTTTTGTCATTGCGTGCAGAAAGAAAACACAACAGCAGTAGATGATGCAAAAAAAAAAAAAACAACGCTCATTTTCTTTTGAGTCCTTTTTAGACAAAGTGAACCAACCAATGGAAGCAAAGGGATAAAAGAACCTCTCCCTGGAAACCACAACTTTTTTTTTTTTCTTTGCGCGTTTGTGTTTGTTTTGCTCCCATTCAAAGTGTGTGAGTATGAAGGCGATCGTTGCGTTTTTTCCACAAATCGCAATACGAATATTGTCTTAGTTTTTGTGATCAGTTGCGGTTGGGCTCATAAGTTTACATACCAGGACAATCCTTCAAAACATAAAAAATGTACAGAACTAAATGATTTGTCTGACAATTGTCAGTGGTTTGGCAGAACCATTTGCTTTCAGATAGTTGTGTTTTCTCTTTTTAAATCATAATGACAACTAAACAATACAAACTTATGCTATATAGTCAATTCTCAGAATATTTTCAATTCAAATCTCTTGTGCAAAGTAAATATGCATTAGGTCGTAATGCATAAATTAAAATTGCATGGAGAAAGAAAACACAGTTGATATTCAGAATGTTAAACAGGATTGATTCAACAAAATCCATACCTACTTCAAAATGGCAAAGAGATCTGAATATCAACCCAGATTGTGACTTCTGGATTAACATTTGCAATAATATCTCATAAATGACAAAAAAACTCAAATCTTCAGCTCATTCAATATAAAGCACTTCACAGAATCCATTACACAACTCAAAAAATGCATAAAATGGGTTTTGGCTCAGGCTGAATTGTGCAGAAATGAATACCCCTGATACATACGTTCATGCTTTTTATGGTTATGAAAACCTGTTCAACAATTCTGGACAAAAGTAACTACATCCTTCTCCAGTGGGTTTGGCTGTCTCATCCCATTATCGCCTTGTCTTTGTTTACTGGGAGACGCCATCAACTTTATTAATGACACTCCAAACACTAAACGACTACTTATAGCTTTGCAAGGAAAACGATTCTTGTGAACTGGAAAGCAAGGACCACCATCAGTGTGACACATTGGAAAAGTTTAGTATCACATTTCAATGGAAAATAACGTAGATTTTATATGGTTCTGATTTATACTATGAATAACAGAATTTATTCAATAATCAATGATTATTGATTCTGCCCAGCTTCGCTCTTCTTCTTTTTCAGCATCATTCTTCCCTTCTCACTTCATGTAGTTCCTGTATGCAATACAACAAATTCCACTCAGTAGAATTAATTTATCAATTCCATTTATTGATCCGTCTCATGTCTGTATCTATCTGTCTTTCATAATTTATTGATTTATTATTATTATTATTATTATTATTATTATTATTATTATTATTGCCAGTGTTAATATATATACAAATAGCCTTTTTTTAAACTGCTCTACATATTGATATTGATCATGTCACTATTTTTGCTCACACACTTTCAAACACACACACATGCTTAATAAAACTCATTTTTTATTCACAATATCATCTGTTTTCTTTTCGTGATTTTATCTTCCTTGCATTGATGTAACACACCAGACCATGTGTTTCTCACGTTGATGTTAAATAAAAGTTAAAAAAAAGAAAAGAAAAAAAGTCATAATGACAACAGATACCATCAAACTCACCCTGCTGTAAAGTTTACACAAGCATTCAATCATAAATCCCGACTTGAACCTGACAGAGAAACTGACAAAAACGCTGGAAAAGGTTGGCCAACAAATATCGTTTCCATCTATTATTGAGACGTCCAACGGGAGCGGGAAAGGCAGCGACCTGAAAATCCTTCAAAACTCATGTGCAAATAGACTTCTGTTCAGCGCTAATGTTTGGAACTAGACAGTGTAGGTGTTAAAGTTATGTTTTATTCAGCGAATTAAACAGTCGACTTCCCGAGGGAGGGGAGGGAGACTTTTATGCCTGGTGTTTGCGTTTACTGTTGGGTGAAATATTTAGTGAATCTAATCTTTGCTTAAGGCTCCAGAATGGTTCGCGGCCGCCTTATCATCCCTCGCAAAGCTTGTTGTGCTCTCCTAAGAGTTTCGGGCTCCGTTCCGCGAGAACAGCAAACCCTTCTGGTGACATTACCAGCTACCTATAAGCCTCTTTACACCGCTGGAAAAACCTTGCTTATACTGTACCGTAAGCCCAGATTCCATTTATGTACGTGACTTTACACAGACTCTGAAACTTTTCGCGCCCGGCTGAGTGCGCCGTGCACAAAAAGTGCGTCCGAACACACACCCACACACACGCACCCACATCGTCGAGGGTTCTATTTCTGCAGGCCGTGGCCCCTCTCATCCTTTCTGATTTAAAGTTTGTTTGTTCTTCTCTCCAGAGAGCCCCATCAATGATCCCTGGCTCACCGAGGGCGCCCCTCCGCCCTGCTCCACCATCATCCCTCCACTTTCATTTCCCTCACTTCTCTGTCTCAGACTCTCCTGAGGCTGGAGCAGCTGCCAGATTGCCCCACACACACACACTCGTGCAAACACAAAGCCTCCGTCCACTGATAAAATAAGAAATAAAAAAAAAATGAAGAACTGAAAAAAAAAGAGCACAACTTCAGAAGACAACAACTGTGATTGTAGCTGTAATTGCATTAGTAGCAGGCGCAGCTAAAAAATTTTTTAAAAAGAAGCTCAGAGTAACAATATGAAAGTTCGAGCCTAAATCGAGCACAATCAGCTCCCCTCGTTTAGTCCGTCGTCGTGATTAATCCCAGAATTAAAATTTCATTTCCTCGCTTTTGCAGAACTTCAGCGGGTTGAAGCAGCTCGGTCTGACGGTCCCCCCCGCATCTGGGAGAGAAGCGCAGCCTGTTAGTGAGGAACAAAGAAGAGCAGAGACAGAGTCAAGCAGGTGGAGGAAGGAGGTGCCACGGCCAGCAGAGAGAACAAAGAGAAGCTCATCTTTGGCTCCAATAATGAGGTCAGAAGGCGCTCTGGTCTCCTCTAATGACTTCGTGCGTCAGACCCGGGATGGAGCCGTTTGTATTTAGAAGGGATAGTAATGAATCTTTAAAGTTAGGCTTTGTTTAAAGGTTTATCGAGCTAATGCAGCAGGATGAAGAAGCTTTAAATACATCAATGAACAGCTCTGGAAAATATGAAGAGCCCACTGCACTGAACCCCACTGACAGCCTCCTGCTTATTCCACAAAATATTGATTTCTGAACTCTTCCTGAGTTAAAACATTAGTGTTGTTGTTTCTAAATCAATATAAACTTGCTGTCTTTGCATTATTTGAGGTCTTAGAGCATTGCGTCTTTGTCGATATTTTGACCACTTCTCATTTTCTGCAAATAAATACTACAGTTCTGGAATTTGGGAGAAATGTAGAATAAAAGAACAGCAGCCGTTTTACTCAAACATAAAAATATAAAGAGTAAAATCAGAGAAACGGGTTGTTTTCAATGCTCTCTCAATTGTTGCCAGAGCTGTATGTACAATGGTGCTGTTAATATGGAATCTGAGACAAAGAAATGTTCTTAAATGAAATTATATGTGATAAAAATTGTATGTTACAAGGAATAAGTCTTAGTTTGTAAAAAAAAAAAAAAAGAAATGATAGAAAATGGTCAGTATTTGTAAACTAACCCTGCCCCCTATCAGTGCAACAGTACAAAAGCCAACTTTCGCATTCAGTAATATCATCTTAAAAACAGAACAGGAAGTCGTCATTCATGCATTTATGTCTTCAAAATGTATTGACTACTGTAACTCATCATTCACCTGCCTAATCAAACCATTACAGGGTATCCTACATGTAGAGTGCTGCTGCCAGACCTCTTACCAAATCTTCATAGTTTTTTTCTCACATCAAATCAACACTTATCCACCTGAACTGGCTGCTTATTATCATATCTATATGTCCTTATAAAACTCATACAATATGACCAAGACCTGCTGGTTGTGTCACTTATGCAGCTGAAACCGAAGCGTGACCACTCACAGAGAAGCAGCGAGGACAATTCTTCCACAAAAGAAATCAGCAACTCACTAAAAGCCGCCAGTCTCTACGTCCTCTTACTGCACGTCTCCACTGATGAAGAAAAACGTCGAGAACTTCTGTCGGACAATTGGACGCGCCAAGAAACACTCCGCGAGAATAAAAGCTGATGATTGTTTCCACTTGAAGTAGAGCTGAGAAGTGGTGCGCCATCATTAATTTTCTACAAAAACGCAATCATTTTCTTTGGAGGAATTTAAAGATGGCCAAAGTCACGTTGGTGTTGGCCATTCCTCGACTAAATACCCGCCTCATCCTGCAGGATGAACTAATAAAGATTAGTTAGTTATATGAAGCCACTAGAGAGGGTTGTCGATTGGGTAAGATATTTACTGCTCAGAATCCCTAAACAGAACCCCGTCTTCTGCTGAAACAAGCTGCTTCTTTCAAACTGGAGAGCAGATGGATAAAACCGTGACCTTTTTTCTTATTCATGCATCTTTTTTATAAATATAAAGTGTGCCCACAGTTTGCACCCTAATTAAAATCACAACAAAGTATGCATTAATGCAAATGAGGTAAATGCAGACAGGTGTGAGATATGAAAACTACCCGCACACCTCTTGATAGAAAGAAGGATTTCCGAGAGGAGAGAAAGCGTGCGTGTGCTTGTGTGTGTTTGTTATGAAGTACAGATGCGGTTGAATGAAAATTAAATTAAGAAAAAAAACACTCCAAGGTGCTCTTCAAGCAAAT